TTCAAATCTTGGCCAGGAATCACAGGACAATTCACAATGGGAAATAAACTTTTCCAATAAATGGCGTAACATTGTGGTCCCAGTGCTTTAACTCGAAATCCCAACAAACATGGTGGCGAGAAAGAAAGTGGGATTCGCAGATGTATGCTGCGAAGGTAGTCTCCTGTCTGGCGATCGAAAGACATACATCAAGAGATAGGAGGATGTAAAACTAGATTCTAGTTCCTCTATTCGCGTATAACTGAAATCAATCCTCCCGAAGTTTAAACTCCTTAGCTTGGGGCTAAAGACTGGGATAAACAAAAACACACTCTCGTCATGATACGTTTCCTTCCGGTTGGTGCGAAAATGCATTAAAACGATCAAAGTGAGCCAATGGTACTAAAAGCGGCTAAAGTGACGCAAATTCTGATCAGAAGCGAAATTTGTAGCAAGCACTAAAATGCGCCGAAGATACTTTGAGAGAGCCAAATTTTACGACAAAACGAAGCAGATGTTACCTAGTGGGAAATGAGGTGACCGTTTTGTAGGAAGATAATGTGGAAGATTTTAGCGAATTTTACGACCCACAAAGCCTCACTTCGAATCAGTGATTATGAGCTGTAATTACTAGCTTGGAAAAATTCACTAATGCCGTTACTTTAGAATGAAATGACTCACAGCGAACTGTTCTTCCGAAAGTCCCATGTTCCTTCGTATTAAGTAAATCTTGGCCTCATTGTCGTAGTCCTCCTTTTTGACATAATACTTTATGAACCAAGAGTAATTCCACATGATCCACCTCAATCATTCCTTATAAGCAATGCGTGTTCGTATTCAAATTTAAGATGCTAAATTTTAAATTTGAAAGGTTGAAATTTTGCGTTCGATTCAAAAATTGCTGGTGGTACTTCAAGGGAAAAATGAAATATACCTACCAAAATATCCTATAGGGCAGTGCAATAAGGCTCCACAGCAACGTATTGTATACTGACGGTTTTTTGTATCCACCTCTGTAACCGCAAAATCGCTCAGTGCACTGTATCTTGAAATGTAGTAGCCCAGAGAAAGCAGCCTATAAAAATGCGCCGGTGACCATATTAAAAATGAAACTCTCCACTGCGCAACAAGTCCACCAAGAAGTCTGCTGGGGGAGACGGAATGCTGGTAACTAATCGGTCAGTGCCACGCTCGTTAAACAAACCAGAACAAAAGAAAACGCTCATTCAAACAACATCCGAGGGAACGATGCATATCAGCGAGTGAAACTTCTGTGAGAGGTGCAGTCAACAACGGCGTTACACTCACAATCCAAGCCACCACTTGCCGACAATAAAATGTTTTTATATTTATCAGTGAGTCTCTGGTGAAACTACTGCAGAGCTTTACAAACCGCTGTTTTTTTCAAGCTCAGTATCGAAGTTTCCTAAAAATTCGATGCGAACAACACTGCAACAGCACAAAAATACCTGATATCTACATTTTCCTCAATAATCTGCCGTAAAATCTGTTCGGTGTGTTCTTTCCTCGACTTTTTATCTCGCCGTAAGCCGCCATCCGGTAAAAGTCCTCTTTCTTCAGCAATTTTTTTAGCTGCGTTACGATATTTTCCATTTTTAACTGCATAATCAAGTGCTTCCCTATATTTTTGTGCCGCACTAAAAAACTGAAATGACAAAAACTGATAGATTACCAACTACGTACATCTGCATTACTAAGCAGATATACTTGGGCCAAATAACAAACAATACAGGGGCCACAATTAACGAAGAACATCGTATGGATATGGAAACATGGACATGGTATACCAAATGGCGCTCTGCTAAAAAAAATATAACAAGAAATCGTCCGAGTTCGCTACCTGGAACGTAGAGATGAGTATAATGGTGACCAGAATGACAATTCTTGGATCAACTTTGGGAGCAACACGCCTTCGATAGTACTGGTAATAATTATATGCTCGTTGCTCCGGATGGTCCAGATAATAATTGTAGTCTGCTCGAGTTTCATCATCTCTGAGAGTCTCGTAAGCAGTCGCTATTTCTTGGAACATCTGCACCGCTTTCTCTTTTTTGCTCTTCAAAACACATAAATTTACTGAGTTTATTGTGACATCAGTAAGCGATAGTACAAAGTGGCAGGAGTGTATAAGGTTACTGCAGCAATAATCCCCTGGTTACTTTCTTTAATGCTTTGATCAGCTGTTGTTTCATCGTTGCGTTCCTTTTCGCCACTGATTCAGCCTGTACACCGTCCACTTTTCTCCACATTACGCACCTACCATCCGCATAATTCCACGGTCGTTCAAGCAGCACCGTCCATAACTTTGAGGCAATTCTTTTAATAGTGCACAAATACCATTAATTCACGTTGCCTGTCTGCTTTCTCTCGTTGTTGCCCCATATACAGTGAAATTCTTTTTCCCTGGCATAGATTCCTTCGATAGTACTG